TATTTAAAAAAGGTCCCCTGAAACCTCCAGCTATTGTTCTCGTTAGCTGCATTCTGTGGTAGGAGGACCTAGTGGTGAGGGCAGCCGCCAGCCGGTGCAGGCTTATGCCTCGCCAGTGTGGTAATGCTAGCATAAGGAGGATTTTCCTCTCAGTTCTTCCTGGGGCCAATTCTCCGGCTTCTGTCCATCCCTGATCAGCTGTCGCTGCACAGCGTTTATCACGTGCTTTCCCTGCCTACCCCCCCCACCCCACCCCCACCCCCGTCAGAAACTTGAGACTGAGTATGGCACCTGCATGTGGTAAGTACTGATGCACATTTTGGAGACGCTGCAAAATCGTGATCACCTTTAGCATCATGCTCTGTGCTGTTGGTGGCAAATGCTTCTAGAGTTTGTCATTTCGTGTTGATGGTGAACCATTGCATACCCAGTCTGTATTTCTAGAGCAAAGAGAGCCACGTAGCCACTGCATAGTAGTGTGGGGCAGTGAGATGAGTGAACGTTGATTTAGTGCTCAGCTTGTGCTGCGCCCACCAAATGCACTTCATGGACTTTCCAGATTAGATACCGGGGAAAAAACTGTCTCCATTTCAAGTTCTGGCTCTAGTTCAAATGAGAATTTGTTATGTCCCTTAGGCAGCTGTGGCGGACAGCGCTCAGCTCCAGAACTATTTGGTATCCAAACAATGAAGAGTGTGCGGGGTCAGGGAAACCTGACAGGAAAAAGGCCCTCTTAGAACTTCCTGCTTTGGGTCATGGTGTAATCACAGCAAATAATACAGATTTCCCTTTTATTATAACCACAATAGAGAGGCAGACGTTGTGTTTACAAGGCTCGTTGTTTAGGAGATGTTTGTAAATCGTAAACTTTGGAAATCCCAAAACTACTGGATGCAGTCTCATCCGTTAGCCGAAGGCAGCTCGCCTGTGTGTAGGTTCTGAGCAGCAAGTTAAATTGAGACCGTGAACGGGAAGCAGCCATTAAGAATTACAATGGGTAGGATGCAGACTCCATTCGGGCAATGTTGTGTTAGATGATTACATCACAGGACAGCTGAGTGCTGTGCTGGACTCTGCTTGTTGTCTGCCCTGCCCTAGAGGCCAGGACTCAAGAGACAGCAAGAGAAGTAGCTCACTTGGTTGGAATAGTTAGGGGTTGGCTGGCTTCACTGGGAATTGACAACAACCTAGAATTTGGACTGCGCTCTCTCTGCCAAACTGCATGCATAGCCTCAATAAATACTGAGAGCCACTTCTCATGTCTACTTTTGGGAAAAAAAAGTATTTATTATTTATATGTCTGTGTGTGTCCTTTCATGAGTTCATGCACCGTGTGTGTGCAGGAGCCCTTATAGAGCAGAAGAGGGTGTCAGATCTCCTGGAACTGTAATTTTAGGCAATTGTGAGCTGCCATGCAGGTGCTGGGAGCCTAACCTGGATCTTCTGCCAGAGCAGTAAGCCCACTCTGATCTGCCCAGCCATCTCCCTCATCCTCACTCTTTGAATGGATGTTTACTCAGACCACACGGTACAAGTCGGTGATAAATACTGAATGGTGGTTTCCCTCCGAAGGTCATGGTCAGTACAGTGTGGTTACATTCTTCCTATGGAAATGTAGTCATGACGTCATTGAAATGCTATTTTTATTAGCTTACTGAATATTTTAGAAAGTCATAAACGGTGGCTAACGTTAAGAAATCATGCAGTGGAAGTTATTTCCCAGTGTTTATGTTCAAATGCTCAGGCCTGTCTTACTCTTTGGTTTTGTAAGTCTAGGGGATATAGGCAGTCTGGGGACATTCCTCATTGATTTATACAAATAGATTACAGATCTATACAAATAGGTTCCAGTTCAGCCAGAGGCCTTGATTTATTTTAATTGAGTTCTGTGAAACTTACGTACTGTATGGAAATACCTGTTGTGTTTTGTTTACCAAATGACTACTGCTTGATTTGGATTAATTTTAGAGGGATCCATAGGTAAAAAGACATCATGAGTATTATGTTCTAGAATTTCCAAAATTAATATCCACAACTATTGGCTGAAAATGTATTTTCTATCCATTAAGATTAAGGCAACTATTAACTTTTAGTCTAATGTTTACTAAACTGTTACAGCAGCTTTGTATTAGAGTGAAGAGCAGTGTTTCTCTAAATGTCTTTGAAGTGGTCCATCCGTAACAGTGGTTCTCGACCTTCCTAACGCTTCGACCCTTTAATGCAGTTCCTCTTGTTGTAGTGACTCCCAACCATAAGAGTATGTCCATTGCCACTTCATATCATAATTTTGATACAGTTATGAATTATAGTGTGTCTGATACACAGGATGTCTGACTGACGTGCAACCCCTGTGAACGGTTCATTCGGCCCCAAGAGTCATGACCCACAGGTTGAGAGCTGCTGATCTATAACTTGCTGATGGCTGGCACTGGAGGCTGGGAGTGAGGAGCCTATTGCTTATCTCTTTGATGTGAATTATGAATTTCTAAGGGGAATGTGATAGCCTCTGCTCTCCAGACTAACACACTGAACGTTTAAAAGTAATGTCTTCGTGAACCTGGATGAGCAACTTAAACATAACACCTCACTTTTATAGCTCACAGTGTATGAGTACATGCATAAAAATCCACACAGACGGCTGGAGAGATGGCTTAGCAGCCCGAGCATTTGTTGCTCTTGCAGAGGACGGGGCTTCCGTTCCTAGCACCCATATGCTGGCCCACAGCCATCTGTAACTCCTGTTGTAGGGGCATCCGAAGCCACCTACCTCCAAAGGCCCCAAGTACACATGACACACATATTCATGCAGGCAAATACTTACATACATGAACTGCAAATAACGTTCTGCTGTATGCATTGTCGTGTCTGTTTAAATTCATTCCACTTAAAATTTTTTCCCCATATTTATCATTTAAGGCAAGTAGCAGTGGCTTCATTAAGCTCACCTCTCCCTATCTTCTTCTGTATCCTCAGCGTGGAGCCAGGGTACCTTAGGTGACATTATCAGACATTAATATTTTGAAGAACGAAGTATTATATAATGAAAAGCAGCTTGAGTGGTTAGATGTTTTTCATGAATTGTGTCATACAAGAGTCTTGGAAACGGTTTCAGTGTGATTAAGCAATATTGCATACTGCCAGAGCTGTTAGGTAATTTCTAAGACAACGGTTTGGGGAACAGGTGACCTTTTGGCTCAACTGTGTTATGTCCCCATCATGATTTTTTTCTTCTGAAAATTAATAGCAGACACACACACACAGAGAAAGAGAGGGGGGGAGAGATACCCATTTAATAAGAACTGGAGCTGTTTATTAACTCAGGCAAGTGATGAGCAATGCACTTTTCATTGAGGAATATCTTAGTTATAACAGGAACCATTTTTAAAGTGATGCTTGAGGAGCCCAATTGTAATGGATATGTTGTGGCCTGACTCTAGCATTTGTATTTGATTTCATTACATCCCACTCCGTGTTCACTGTAGTCTTCTTGCAAAGACAGAGACATCAAATACAAAGAAGCTTGTTGATTTTGCAACTCTTTTCTTTCTGAGAAGACGTAGTTGAAAGAGGTGGTTAATAGTAATAAGGTGGCTCAAAGCAGCTTATGTGCAAATGGTCAAACTATCAAGTTCAGAGAGCCATTTTGATAGACTCCCCAAAGCCCTTCATAGTGTAGGTTTTACACATTTTCTTATAGATTAAGACTGGTTACAGTATTCTATAGATGTTGTTAAAATTTAGTGTAGATTCAGAAAGAAGTACCAAATTTGAAGCCCATGTACCCCAGAAATACAGTAGTGTGGCCCAGTCAACCAATAGGCCTTGAAAATTTAATAAAAGTAGCGTCCAGATTGAACCAAAGCAGTGAACCCATAATTTAGTAGGGGGACTGTGTGTGCACACAATTTCTTGGACAGGTTTTTCAGTTTTTAAATGAAAATGTAATATGAATGACATTTTATGCATTTCCTCTTATTTATATTACACTCCTCTCCAGAAGTTTCCTTACAGCTTATTTATGGATGGCTTTTTTAATTCTTTAGACAGCTTGGTGAGACTGTAGCACATGAGACAGTATACCAGCTACAGGACTTTCTGCCCTCGGGCTGAAGGTTCTCTGGATCATGGAAGGCTCTCTCTGTACTATTTGTTTACCTGTGTTTTTATTAGTTTTCCAGTGTATTCCTCTTTCAATTTCACAGTGTTTGCATGATAATCAAGTTATTTAGCAGCACCGTCTTATCATATTCTTAGTCTTTTTTTATGATTTCTGTAAATAATTTGAAATCCATACTTTGAACAGTTTTGGAGTGTATATAGCTCATTATTTGTTAAGTCCCTAGTCTGTACAGTAGTTTCCCAGTGTACCAAAACATTGCATGGAATCCCATGAATACATGCAGTTATTTTCTGTCAGTTAGGTTAAATAAATAATAAAGCCTTAATTTTTTACGGTGTGATTCTACATGGGAGTTGAAATGTTAAAACTAATGAAGAATTTATGCCATTCCTAGGGCAATAATTTGGCTCGCCAGGGTAAGGAGTCTGTCTGAAACGTTTCTCCATAGTCCATCCTAGTTGTTTTCACAGCCATGGTTGTTCTAGGAAACTTTTTTGCAGAGTCCACTATCTCCGGAGAACGCTTAACTGGCCTCTAATTTTCTCAACCTGTGAGCTGAGAATCGTTAGAATTATTTTGTCCAGTTGCAAGTTGTTAAAGCCATTTCCATCAACAAGTTCTGTATGAAGACTTTGTTAAGACACTCTGCGCATACATTTTTGACCTTCAGTCATGTTGCTTTGTGACTGATACTTGGACATTCTGGCTTGCACAGCTCCTCTGCTGAACTTTGAGATGGGTACGAAAACAGCAGATCCCATTATGTCTGATCACAAGGTGTGCTCCCAACTGTGTGGAATCAAGGGGTGCCCGAAAGATACGTGGGTTACTACTTGGCTTATTTACACCTACTCATTCTGGTTGGTTTTTTCCCTTCTAGGTTGTTTGATGTGTGCACAGTGTCACGAACAGACAGAGAGACCAAACTTACACTGGTCTTTGAGCATGTTGATCAAGACTTGACCACTTACTTGGATAAAGTTCCGGAGCCTGGAGTACCCACAGAAACCATAAAGGTACCAAGAATCACCCTTCTGTCTGGTCAGACTAGCCTCTGTCACAGCTTCCTCAACACTAACATTCTTTCATGTGAAAACTGCCAGAATTTGTGTTTTTGAAACGTAATACACAGCTCAGAATGTCAACTAAGTAAAATGTTCAAAGAATGGAAAATCTTCTAGCCCATCTACTAAGTAGGATCTTCAAAGAGTGGGATTGCAGTCCAATTTAATTTTAGGGTGAATTTTTTAAAAAGCTTTTAGTTTTAATGCACATTAAAATTCTTTAAAATCACTTATTTGTGTATTATCTGGCCCTAATCTTATGAAGTATGGTGTAACAGATACAGCTCAGTCTATCCTGGTAGTTCATATTCTTTAAGATACATAATTTTAAATGTCACTCAAAGGCACATTATATATTATAATTATATGCTGATTCTGAGGCACATTCATTGCCCAATTTTTTTGTTTTTTTTATCCAATTCATAGATTTTGTTTGTTTTTAATCTAAATGGCAAGTAGTAATCTTGGTATTCAGAGGTGATTAAGACATGCTTTCTGCCCTTCATGGTCAACAAGCTAGGAAGTATATTGATTACAGACAAATTCTTTAAGTCTAATGGGAAAGCTACTCAAAAGGACTTAATGGTCTAGCCTGTCACTTGGCTTAACTCTATTTTCAGTTCATCTGTTGAATCTGTGCCCATCTCCACAGAGGAAGAAATGTCTTTTGAGTGATGACTAGATGATGTTCCCAGATACTGATCCATGTAGACTGCAGCATAATAAACGATTATCCATTTGGGCTTAGGCTAGTAAGAGTTCTGCTTTTCCCATCTTGCTTTCATTAAAGATTGTGATACATAGTGGTAGTTCCATTTCTTTGTGCTCAGTTTGAAGGCTGTGAAAACCCTCTAAATGGAGGCTTTCTGATCACCCATTCTTGGCTCTCCGCTCTGCACCTTCTTCCTCTGGTACTGTATTCCATTCCCGTGACTCCATTTCTTTCCTTTATGTACTTGATCCAAAAACTCCACGTCGTTCCTGCGCAGCAGGGGCTAGTCCTTTTGGCTCACTGATTTCTGACCACGTCGAACAGATGACGGTTTTCTCACGTGGTCTGACTCCCCACTGAGGGAGTGGCCCTCCTGCCCATGGAGCATCTGTTAGTCCTTTCTGGGTCCACCCAGATGTGTATCATCCCCTCTCACAGTGGATATGTCTCATTTGCCTTAGAAGTTGTTGCACACTCCACTTCTTTCTTGTATTTTCTACCCTTGTGATTATTTATATATGTATCTTATCTACTTATCCATGTGTACTGACTGCCATATTCATTTTGTATACTTAGGAACATGATAAATAAGACATGTTGCCAGGCTTCCTCCAGACATAATTATTTCAATCAGTACATTAAACAAATGTTAATTGGCTTTTTCTGGTGTAATTCTTCTATTAGTTATTCCATGATACCTTTTAAAATATCAAAACAAAGTAACCATATATTTATAGACCACACTGCCAGCTCCATAGGATTTTTTTTTTTTTTGAGTTTCACATTTTCTCCTAAGATATCAGAGGGTGATAAGTGAAGTTGTTTGCAGAAGGTTTTTTATAATTAAAATGTTTGATAAGCCAGAGTAGTTCACTAGAGGCAAAGCTTGATCGGACAGTAGTAGAAATGAAATGGGTCTGGGAGATTCCTGGGATGTGTATGGAAGGTCAAACGTAACAGGAAGAGAAGTGAGCATGATTGTAGTTGCCAGAGTTGGGGAGTGCCAGGATGTGTGTGTGTGCGTGCGTGCGAGTGCACGCGTGCCGGAATGTTGGTTACCAGAAGATGAGATTCTCCTGGAAGCTGAACAGTCTCTACCACCGTCAGAATTAGTTCCTCTCTAGAGTAGTTGATAGAAGTGAGGTTGGGGGCCAGGCCTATAGATTAGAATTAATGACGTATGGTTAAGAATATGGTTAGTGTTTTCAAAATGGCGTATAACCATGATCAAATGAAAGTAATTTGTATGTAAAGACAAAAGTAACAAGTACTGTAACAAGTAACTAAAACTTTCTTGTTTTCATCCTTAATTTTAAAGAATAGGTCTGAATTGATCGACTTTTTGTTTTTATTAATTAATATCTTTCTAACCCTGAGTGTTGCAATGATTTGATAAGGGTGTTATGATGTGAATATAAAATATACCTTATAGCCTCATATGTCTGTCCATTCCTTCCCTAGCTGGTTGGAACACTTAGGAGGATGAGCCCGCTGGAGGAAGTGGGTCTTTGGACTGCAGGCCTTCTGGGTTGTAGCTCAGCCCCACTTCCTGCCCAGACTGCTCACTGCCCGGTCAGGCAGATGTGAACAGGCTGCTGACACACTCCCCATAAAGCTGCTTGTCTCCATGACTCTCGATTCCACAACAGTGACTTCCCCATCACACTGGAGTGCATCCTCTCAACCATGAGACAAAATAAATTCCTCGTCCCCAATGTGTCCTGTAAGGTGTTTTTATCACAGTGTGAAGAAAAGCGATGGATATAAAAATTAGTTTTAAAATTATGGGTAATTATTTAGGAGCTTATACAATCATTAAATGGGTAGTTAGGTTAAAGGTATAATTGATACAATACTTTTGCTAGGCACTTGTATCTTTTGTTTTGGTAATTGATTTAATTTTAGGAATTGGTGTGCAGATTACTGCATTGTTGGTTGATGTTTTCAAGCATGGAACTGGAGAACAGAAATATTTTGTTGTACAGAAGATGTATTTATGCCAAATCTCTCCTTGAACTAGTGAATGTTATTATGTTGAACAGTTTATTGGGAACACAAGATGGATTCTTTCTATAGACTGTTCTATGGAAAAAGACTTTTTTGAATGTACTGAGACACCATTTGTTCAGTGTTTACTGTATTTAGGAAGTTTCTACAGTGAGCACTTACTTAGCAGATGCAAAATGACCCTACTCTCAGGCTTTCCAAAATGAGATGAAATGCACATTTAAAAAGAGAGAGAGGCCGGGCCGTGGTGGCCCACGCCTTTAATCCTAGCACTCAGGAGGCAGAGGTGGGCAGATCTCTATGAGTTCAAGGCCAGCCTGGTCTACAGAGCGAGTTAGTTCCAGGACAGCCAGGGCTACAAAGTTCCAGGACAGGCTCCAAAGCTACACAGAGAAATCCTGTCTCAAAAAAGCTGAGTGAGGGAGAGGGAGAGGGAATCTGTCTCACAAAAGCACATTGCAAACCTTTTCAGTGATTATTTTATAGTGTGGGGCATTTTCAAGTACAAGCAGAAAAACCTCACTTAGGTCTTGGGCTCTATGCATGTGGAACGGAGGAGGTGTTCTCTGAAGTAGTCAAAGCAGCTAGAATGTTGGAGATACTTTACATTACATGTACATTATCTTACTTGCATTGAAACATGCTATGTTGTCCAAGTAACTGTAATCTGGAAAGGACTTTAACATGAATAGATTTAAACAGACAAGATAATGAGATGATCGTGTAAGATGCCTAAGGTTAAGGTCTATGTCTTTCACCGTCTGTCTTCCAGGATGTTCTCATGACGTGTTCACCTGTTAGCTTGCCGTCTGTTACCAAAGGATCCCAGTGCTTATTGGGGTACTAACTGTAATAAGATGGCAGGGCTGGATAAAACGAGAATATTTCATTGTATCTGGACAGGGATAAAATCTTTATCACTTAATCAACATCTTTGTTAGAAAACAACAGGTGGAGGACTTATTAATTAATGTCTCGCCGAGAACAGTTTTTCAGATATTTGAATGATATTTGTTTTGAAAAAATCATGAAGTTGTTCGTGTTGGTATTTGGTCAGTTTGTGGGGGATGTCCTTCCATTCCTGCGTGGTCCTCTCATCCACCTTGAATAAAGGAAGTCCCAAGCTATGCCTAAGCTGAACATCACCTCTGAAAAGCTGTAGTAGTAATAATAACAATAATAAAAACTGTAAGAGACTGTTCTTTCCAACATTTTCAAAGTAAAAATTTTTAGGTAAATGTTCTAAGACAAAAAGAAATGAGAATGATGTGTAACCCTCACCTTGACGGTGTTGTTGTGATGTTCTTTCGGTCCATCTGTTCCTGTCTGGTGATGACATTTGCATAGGAAGCTTGTTGACTGCTGTACTGTGAAACCAACACGTAGCCCGATGTGACCTGGTGACATGGCTGGCTTGTCCTCTTTCGAATTCAGGCTGCTCTCTTCGAATCTGTTTAGTTGTGGAGCTGAGTTCCACCTTCACCTCTCATCTCCATGCATCCATCTGCCACTAAATGACAAGGGTCAAAAGACGTGTCAGAGAGTTCATTCAGCATATTCCTTCGTCATTCGGAGGAAAGGGAGCCATATGGCGGAGTACTGAGGGGGTCCTCTGTGAGGTAGTCTTTCCCAGAGCAGCTCCAGAGCTGCTCGTACACGGAACCACTTCCAGGACACTTGCACTTGCCTGCAAATCAGCTTTCCTAGGAACTGGCCCAGCGTCTTCAGCTAACTTACAAACTCCTTGAAAACGAACCTAATGTTATTCCTCGGACATTCTGCCGCTGCAGCCTGTTAATGCAATGGACGGTATCATTTCATGAGAAGAAACACACAGAGCAGTAGCCTCTCAACCAGGACAGGTTCTTTGAGCTCAAGACCATATTGTCTCACGGAGTCATGGAATAAAAATTATGTCCATGTATCCTATGATAAATGAATTCTATGGAGCTGGAGAGAAAAAAAAAAGCTCAAAGTGTATGTCTGTGTGGGTAATTTTCTCATTGAATTAGATTTCTTTTTATCTTCAGTTGAATGTTTCTTGGAGATTCAGTTGGTTTTACTGTTTTCAGTAAGCGATAAAATGTACTATTAGGTTTATTTTACAAAACCCAGACTTCAGAGACCAACACACACTCTTGATAGCACCTGCTTTCTGCCTCTGGGAAATCATCTGTTTTTGTGACTAATATCTACTTGGAGTAAACATGGCTCTGATGTCAGGATGGAATGC